ATGAGGTGGTACCTCAGAGCTGCTGTAATGTGTTTTTCTCTAATTAATAGTGACTTAACAGCATCTTTTTTCATATGACTTTGATTTCTTCCACTGAAAACTGCCTGCTCATATCCTTTGACCATTTATCAATTCGGGAATGACTTATTCTTATCAATTTGACTCAGTTCTCCATTTATTTGAGAAAAAAGGCCTTTATCAGAAACTTGCTATAAAACTCTGCCCCCCCCCTGCAGGTTTCTGCTTTCCTTCTAATCTTGGCTTAACTTGGCTTAACTGGTTTTGCTTGTGCAAAAATCTTTTAATTTAATGTAAACAAAATTATTCATTTTATATCCTGTAATGCGCTCTCATTTGGTCATAGATTCTTCCCTTAGCCACAGATCTGACAAGTAAACTACTCCATGCTCCCCTAATTTGTTTATGGTACCACCCTGTATGTCTAAATCACGTACCCATTTTGACCTTATCTTGGTATATGATGTAAGATATTGGTCTATACCTAGTTTCTACCATAGTGCTTTCCATTTTTCCCAGAAGTTTTTGTCAAATAGTGAGTTCCTGTCCCCAAAGTCATCCACTACTATATATTATGCACCTAATCTATTCCACTGATCCAGCACTCAATTTCTTGGCCAGTACCAGATTGTTTTGATGATTATTGCTTTGTAAAACGATTTGGGATCTGGTATGACTAGGCCACCTTCTTTCACATTTTGTTTCCCATTGATATTCTTGAACTTTTTTCTTCCAGATGAATTGTTATTTTTTCTAGCTTTATAAAATAATTTTTTGGTAGTTTGATTACTATGGCATTGAATAGATTAATTTAGGCAGAATTATCATTTTTATCATATTAGCTCAGATTACTCATGAGTAATTACTATTTTCCCAATTATTTAGAGCTGACTTTATTTGTGTGTTTTATAATTATGTTCATATAGTTCCTAGGTTTGTCTCAGCAGGTAGACTCCCAAGTATTTTATACTGTCTATAGTTACTTTAAATGGAATTTATCTATCTCTTGCCGCTGGACTTTGTTGGTAATATAGAAATGCTAATAATTTATGTGGGTTTATTTCATATCTTGCAACTCTGTTGAAGTTGTTAATTTTTTCAACTAGTTTTTTAGTTGATTCTCTGGGATTCTCTAAGTATACCATCATGTCATCTGCAAAGAGGGATAGTTTTGTTTCCTCACTGCCTATTCTAATTCCTTCAGTTTCTTTTTCTTCTCTTATTGCTAAAGCTAACATTTCTAGTACAATAATGAATAACAGTGGTGATAATGGGCATCCTTGCTTCACCCCTGACAGAGGGGCACATTTTAACCACTGTTTTTAATGCATCACACAAACACAGTTATGTCCCAAAGGAGTGGCAGTCATCTCTATTTTAATTTACAAAAAAGGTAATAAGGAACCTGCCCAACTGAATGGAAATTTTGGTTTTGGAGACAAAAATTGTTGTTGATGTGGGGCACCAAATGAAACACTCCTACACATGCCCTCTACCACTGTGGCCCTCAACTGAGTGGGGCTATTACCTGATGGTACAATGCTACTTCAAACAGACTTGCTCAAGCTATCAAAGTGCCAGGAAACATTGAGATTTGGGTAAATTCAACAGTTCCACGATTGGGAGAGGCCTTAAGAAAAGAATTAGACAGTAAGAACTGTACCATCACTATCATTACTACCATACCCTTTGAAAATAGATTCTTTGTCTTCCAAATAGCCAGGGGCTGGCAAAACTGAGAAATATTTGATAGTCTGTCAGCCTCTGGTTTAGTAAGATGACCTGACAGTGAGGACCCTAGGAGAATGGGATCCCTCTAATAACATTGTGTTATTTAAATTAAAAATCAGTCCAAGGCTAGCCTTATGGGATGGGATCAGATGGAGCAGGGACATGTACACTGAACATATAACAGAATTAGGCAATACTCAGAATGAGCTCTTGAGAAGAATATAGCGAGAAGCAACTGATTCTTTATTAATTCATATATAATGTATGTTTCTTTGTAATCCATTTCAATTGGAATTGTACAATGTAATGTTTACTTCTTTAAATTTTATACCTTACTTCTAATATTGCCAAGTATGTAATCATTTATCCCTGTGAAATGGAATATGTGATCCAAAGTGCCTGTAAGTCTGTTTGATTTCACATTCGTCGAATAAAGTAAAAATATCTGTTGTAGAATTTCATCGATGGGCAGCAGCAGCCTAAGGCCACCTGACCCAAGCCCGACCTGAAGAATCCCCTCTATGACAGCCCTAGTAAGTGGTTATCCTGCCTTTGCTTTGAGATCACTTTAATGCTGAAGCCAGAGGCATAGCTGTGGAATTGGGAAACATAATGTACTAGAATAGAAATACCAGTAAGATGTGGTTTTCTAAGTCAATCTGCAGCCAGGCTCATTTGAGTCTGATGCTCCTGCTCTAACGCATAGGAAGGTGTTCCTTACATCAAGCCTAAATGTATCTCTTCACAACTCCCACCTATTGCTCCCAGTACAAGTGAAATCCTTCTTGCTTTGTACTTGAAGATAACTATCATATCCATTCCATCCTACCAGTCCCCAAGTCTTCTCCAAGTTAAACAGGCTCAGTTTTTTCAACAGCACGTACTTGAGGCCTCTCACGGTCCTGGTTGCCTTCCTCTGGACAGTTTCTTAGCCATCAGCCCTGCCTTGAAAGAGGCCATGGCCATAGGGAATGGTGCAGTACTTAACCTTTTAAGTGACTTTGGAAAGCCACTCTGGGAGTCCACTAAACAGACAGGGGAGTGAATGCCAATTTCCACAGCCCATCTCATCTAGCCAGCACCAGTCAGGCTCAACAGTGCACCCTGGCCATTTTTTTTTTGCCAAATACAATGCTTCCAAACCTGGGGTATTCTGCACCCTTCCTTCTTCCCACCTCCTTCTCTGGGAGCTGGAATCAAATCAATATTGTCATTGCTATGAGAAAGGGAATATAAATCACCTCCCCTAGTATTCCAATCAGCTTATGATTCCCAAGTCAGAACCATCCTGTTTGGCTGCAATTGTTCCATAGAGTAGTCTCCCCCATTAGAATGTAAACTCCTTAAGGGTGGAGATTGTCTCACTCTTTACCTTCCTGCCCCCTCCCCCCAACATAAATTCCTTAAAGGCAGGAATTGTTTCTTTTTGTCCTCACATCCCTAGACCAGCACAAGGCTTTGCCCATAGTAGATATTTTAAACAATTTTGTGAAATAGACTGGACTAGAGAGATGGGAGTGGGGAGGGTTATGCATAGGCATTGTTCTTGGACCTCACTGCCAGCACTGAGGACTTGGTTACTTCAATACAGTGTAGTAGATAAATACTGTATAAAAGTTTTCCTAGTTCTGGTATTAAGGGTATCTCCAAATACAGTGGAAATAGACTCTCTATTAGCTAAACACCTGAGCCACATCACAAAGGGAATGCAGAGAGAATGAGAGCCAGAGCCCAGGCCCAAAGAGGGAAGGGCTACTTCCACAGGGATACATGGACTTCAGTTCCCTGGAGGAGAAGCCTGAACATCTGTGAGGCCTCTCCTGGCTATCAGGAGAGGAAGACACCATACGGCCCTGGAGATTGTAGTGATGAAATCCCGGGCCAATGGAGAAGTTCTTGGACAATCAAGCAGAGGAATTATGGGACCAGGTGTCTTGGATACAGGAGGAAGAATTTCATGAGCCAAGGGAGACAGATAATAAAAAGAGCTGGCAATTATACTGCACTTTAAGGTTTACAACCTGGTAACCACCCTGGGAGTAGCTGCTATTCCAGAGGAGGAAACTATGGCAGGCAGAAGTTAACGACCCGTCCAACATCACTGCGGCTACTAGGTGTCTGCCTGGTTACTCAGCTCTTGCCTCCTGCCTCCAGGGGAAGGGCTCTCTGCTGCCACCTCGCGGGCACGACGTGCAGCCTGGCGTCAAGGCCGTCAAACTCCATAGAACCCGGGGGCTAGGGGCTGAGGGCTGCCGGAGGTGGGGATCCCTGCTGGCCCTCTACTGACTTAGAAAACCACATGCTAACACGATCTCTATTCTACTGTATTCTTTTTTATTTAGTGACATACTTCCCAATAACCCTCTCATTTGGTTCGGCTCCACTCGAAGTAGCGGGAGTTATTCAGATCCTGCAGACTCACGGAAGGCTCCAACTTTGCTTGGTGCTCGGCACTTGCCGTTGCAGGCAAAACAGGTGTCCCGCCAGAGAAGGGAGGGCTGCTTTGGATTTGGCTTTGGGTCGGTTCGTAACGCATCTTTAGACTGGGCCCCGAGGGTACTCGCCATCGCTTGGACAGACCTCAAGTTCCGTCCTCTCCCTAGGGAGGCAGGCAAAGGTGGCAGCCGGGACGGACGCTCAGCCAGATCTTCGGTATCGCCCCTAAGCCCGGTGAGACGGAAGAAGGCCGTAGCGAAGGGGCAGGTGCACCGGGTGGGCCTCCCCAGGTAGAAGAGGGCCCGCGGGCTTCGCGCGTGCAAGCTCAGACTTAGATGCAGAGGCCTGAGCGCCCAGGCTCTCGAGAGCCAAGGCCTCCGTGAGCGGCCAGCTGCCAGCGCGCATGCTCGGGAGACGCCCCGTGCTGCCCAGCGCCTTTCCCGAGGCCTCCCTTCCCTCTCACCTCAGTGATCTTCTGCTTCATCTGCTCCATTTGCTCCCGCTGCTTCTTCCGCTTCTTCATGAGATGAATGGCGCGGCGCACCTCACTGACGGCACCCTTGTATTGAGCCATGGCAGTGGCGGACGGCGGTAGCCTGAACCAGAGGGCTGAGGAAGAAGTCTCCACCGCCTGCGGCCCACAAGCCCGTGATGACGCCGCCGCGTTACCACGTCAGCACCACGTGAGCAGCAGCCTCAGCGCATTTTCGGCTCTCCCTCCCCTCCCCCGTCCTTGGGGGAGCATGTGACGTAACGTGGGCGGGAGCACGGAGGCCCCTCCTCCCCGCCCCTCCAGTAATGACCAGAGACCAAGGGACTTTTAAACAGGCTTTATTGGGGACTTGTTTCTCCTGTCCGATACACAGAAAGCGGGAGTCACACACAGTCACTTGTCGACATTTGGTCCCGCCCCCCACTTTCCGTGGGGGGGGTGGGAAGAGGGTTAGGGGTGGAGGGCAGGCCATTGCAGGGGTTTGGTCCCTTTCCCCACCTCCTTGTGTAAACTTTCCCTCTGAAATTTCTCCGAAGTCTGGTCTGTCTGCTCCCCCGTCATGTGGCCATTGCACTGGGGAAAGGGACTAGGAAAGGAAGGGGCTCCCTCTCCCCACAAATAAGGGGAAGATTAATACAGCATCGACAGTACCGGGGCAGGGGTGGGGGCATGAAATTAGTTTTCTTCTTCCTTCTCCTGCACCCTAGGGAAAGGGGAATGGGAAGGGAGGCATTCACTATGTAAAGATACATTAATAAGTTAAAATAAATTAAGGGAAAAAGGGCTGGTAATACAATTCAATGCAGCAGCAGCAGCTTTGTGTCCCATACCCGTACCCCCACCCCCACCCCCCTCGAATTCCAGCCCAGCAGAGAGTCAAGACAAAGGATAAGTGATTAGGCTGTTAGAGGCAGCGAGTATATGCATGTTCATGAGAACTGAAGCACAGGGACAGACAGGGTAGTCGACACCTGAGACATGGGAGGGAAAAGTCTGCTTCCATTTTTCATTTTCAGGCTCCCCTTCCTCCCCCCCCCCCCAAAATAAAGCACCATAGAGGCAAGGAGTTTGGGAAAGGGAAAAAAAGGACTGTAAGGACGAGCAGGGCACAGAAATGATAATGTTATATGTGTTGGAGGGCAAGGGGGAGGGAGATTGGTAACAAATATTGGAGAAAATGGGAGAACTCCCACCCTCCATGAAGTCTAGACTCCCTAGGGTAGGGGGCAGGGAGAAGAAAGGTACCCCATGGAATGAATGAAAAGGGTTCCTAACAGGAAGGTGCAGAGGAGGGAATAAGAGGGCAGGCAGGGGCACATCACTGACTTAGGTGTCCCATCCAAACCTTCCCCTTGAGCCCCAAGTAGAAATAAAAATAGGAAGGGAGAGAAGAAAACTTGGTGCTAAGGGAGGCAGGAGAAGGTGGTGAGGGCCTAACGGGAAGGGGATTACTTCCTGCCATCACTGCTCATCTTCTCCAAAGACGTCATTCTGTTTGCGCTTCATGTTTTCAAAGTCAAAGTCTGTCCCAGCCATGCGCTTGTAAATATCTTTGATGTCATTGCAGGTTGTCTCAAAGTGAGTGGTGGCATCATAAGAACAGGAACAGAATACCTAGAGGTAGCCATACTCAGAAGATAAGAGGAGCCCTATCACTGCCACACCACACCCTCCCACCTTGCCTCTGGTCTGGGTCAGGACTAATCCCAGCCTCCCTAAGGGGGAAAATCAACCTGGACAAGTGGCATGCAACAATGGTAGGTGGTTACCTGGCTCTCCAGTCCATTGTCAGTTGGTTCATACAAGTCACTGATGGCCACAAACCTAAGAAGCAGAGGAGGGAGTTCACCCAAGTTGCCCTCTACTCCCCAGCCACCAATACATTCCCTCCTAGAACTCTTCACATCCTCCCAGCCTCTCACTTTTGGTCAATGGGCTCCAACAGCTCCAGCGCTGGCTCAATCTCCTTCTCAGGTTCTGCTGTTTCCACTGTGGTGCTGACAATAGCAATGTACTTTCCCTGGGCAGCCACATTATGGGCATAGGAGATCATGCACACATAGATGTCTTAGAGAAGAAAAGTGAGTTAATGGGAATTGACCTCTCACTCTCCATCTATAGCTACTGCTAATTTTACAGCTCTGTTCCATATAAATTTCCGTATGGATATGATAGGGTAGAAAATTGGCTAAGAGGGGGCTAAGTCATGGATAACCCAGAAAACAACAAGATTCTGTAAAGCATCTTGGCCTGGAATAATCAGTGCATATTGAAACATGTTCCCTGGCAGCCATAGTTACAGGTGTTGGAATCCAACCAGTCCATTTGTATTCAATAGATAACCAAGAGTTCATTGTCCCTGTCTATTGGATGTGTGTTACCTCCCATGAATCTGGTAAGCCACAGTATCTCCCCCATGAGGCAGGTGAAGAAAATCAGATGATTGGGGGGGGGGATCAGATACAAAGAAACTACAAGTGATCCAGCTACAAGGAAACAGCCGCAAATGCCCACTCACTTACACCAGCACTGCCCACCTGATTTCCTGTTGACCTGATTTTGAGGAATGATGATTTGGCAGGAGTTGGCATCGTTGGTGTTCTTGATGGGGTGGCTGAGGATACAGATGACTCGGATGACTTGGCCAGCCTTTCGAACCCGATCAGGGATGTAACTGGGGTCACAGATCAGCTGCTTGCAACGGGCCACCTGGGGGAGAGGGAGACAGCAGCACCCTGACCTACTGAGCTAGGCCTCCACAAATAGGTAGGGATCTTCACTAAGTTTTTCCCATACTCAAATAGGTCTCTCCCATTGGACAAGGACTTGAGAATGGCCAGATATAAGGGGCTAAGTAACCTCATTAAACCCTAGAAGAAGCAAACCTATGCTTTTGGCCTCAATAGCCAACTCTAACCTCAACCAATTAAGAAAACTAATTGTTGACAAGAGAAACAATGAACCCCTTGGACTGAAATTCACACGAAGGCGGACATCATCCGTTCTCTAGTCTCAGTAACCAATTCTCAACATTTTTGCAGCTGGAGGATTAGAAACTCCATGTGGGTAGGTAGCTTGGCATCCTGGCTTATTCTTATTGGCTGCTTCGATTCAAAGCCCAGGCTCCCAACGTGGCTCTACCTTATCTCTCTCCCCAACACTTAGAACCTAGAACTGGTACTGTCATGAAAACCAAAGTACCTAGAACCCTGCTATCCCAAGGGGAAAAAAATGGAACCAGCTTTGGACTGAAGACTAAATGAAGCTAAATGTACCAGCCATCATTTCAAACTTGTCAAAACCACCTGTGGCCCTTTGACAGTGATGGGGGAGGGGCAGGAGGGGGAAGAGAAGGGAAAGAATGGGAGGAAAAAGAGATCTCCAGAAGAATGGTGCAGCTTACCTCCCCCTCTGACTTCACCCCTACCACCTTTCCATTCTCCATAATGATGTCATCCACAGGTTTGTTCAGCATGTATGTCCCACCATAGATAGCACTCAATCTGGGGTAGGGAGGAAGTACAATTGTGAGAGCGAGAGCCCCTCTGTCCCCAGGACTGAGTTGTCAGACTGTCAGACTAAGAGTGTGACTTTGGCTTAATCACACCCCCACTCTAGTGCTTAGTTTCCCCAACTAACAGGGAAAATCAATAATACTCATTCTGTTCAGTTTAGTTTTTTTTTTTACAGGGCTTTATATATATATTTTTTGCATTTTTTTTTAAGGCAATTGGGGTTAAGTGACTTGCCCACGTTCACACAGCTAGTAAGTGTCAAGTGTTTGGTCTGAGGCCGATTTGAACTCAAGTCCTCCTGACTTTGGGGCTGGTGCTCTATCCACTGCAGCGCCACCTAGCTGCTCCTCAGGGCTATATTTTCATGAGGCTATGTTAACTTCTCTCTCACTCATCCATATGAACAAAATTCCAAACTGGAAACCTTGGAATGTGGACAGCCTGCACAGCAGTACTAAAGCAAGGCTTTGGGTATTGAGAACAGAGCCAAGAGGTAGCAATGAAAGATCACCCTAGGCTCAGGGCTGGTAACCTCCTTGGCTGGGTAATCACTATACTGCCAAACCTTGCTAAGCCTCAGTTTTCCCCAGCTGGAAAATGCTAACAATAAAAAGAGCAAAAGCAAAACTGGAGAATAATTTCCTTCACATACTTATTGTGCTCCCACCTCTGCTTGCATTCCCCTCACCCCTCACCTTGCAAATCCCTGGGGTAGCTCTCCCAGGCCATAGAGAGGGTACAGGTATGGGCTCTTCCCATACCGGGCCAGAGACTCGCTGTAGAGTTTGATGCGGTTAATGGTCTCAAGGCAGGGCTGGTCCAAGTAGCTAAAAGGAAAGAAGAGAAAGAGGAAGTTAGTTCAAAAAACAAAAACATTGTGGGACTGTGCTAGAACACAGCCAGTTAAAGAAGGGGGCCCTTAAGCTAGTACAGTTCAAGGTTAAGCAAGGGGCCAGAAGGGGAAATGGAGGAATGTCTTCTTACTCATCAGTTCGGTAGAGTGCCAGAGCATGGCCAGTGAAGTCAATAACATCTTGGCCCAAGTCAAACTTCTTATACACATCTCGCATGGTTGTGGTCTGAGGGTCAACACCCTCAAAGCTCTTGGGGTCATTCTCGTCAAAGTTTGCCACAAACACCAGGAACTTTCTAAATCGGCGTTTCTCGAACATGCCCATCAGGTCTAAGGGAGAAAGGAGTTTCTTTACCAACCCACCCCCCTCCCCCACAGTGAGAAGGGGGCAGAAACTATGAAAGAACTAGAGATAAAAAAGAACACTACTAGAAAGCAGGAGACTCCAGATCTATCCTTGTTCTGCTAGTCAATATGTGATTTCCAGCCAGGCCTTAGTTTCCTAATTTATAAATCCTACCCTTCCCCACTACCATGGGAGATAGTCTACTTAACACTGGAGACCTGGCTGAGGATTAGAGGGTACTTTAAACACACCTCGAATTTCTATGACAAACTGGCTCCCAGGACTCTACTGAGTTCCTGCCTTGACCCTTATGTGCAGGGTTAGGGACCTGTATTGATAATCAAATCAACTCTAACCCTAACCCTTACACCCTACCCTTTCTTCATAACCTCTGGAACCTTCATCCTGATGTTAACAAATTACCCTTCACATTAGACTTGTGTCCTCCTGTCATAAATTACTTTGTCATTTCTGTTTCTGTCTAGGGCATCACTATCCTTTCAGTCTTCAAAGACACTATTATTCCCAACTCTTCACTCCCCCCATCACCCCACAAAGCCAATCACAGGCCTAATCTTGCTGTTTCTAGCTCTACAACATTTCTCATGTACAGGCCCTCATCACCTCCTAATCAGTTTCTCGGCCAAAATTATCTCAATTAAGCAAGGTCTGACCATATTATTCCCCTACTCAAACTACAATGGCTGCCCATTGCCTCTAGAATAAAAGTTTGGTTTTCAAGTCCTACTTGGCCTAGCCCCAGCTTACCTTATCAATCAACTAACAATGCTGAGAACTCCAAACTAGTCTCCTCACTGGCATATCTTCTATCCCTGTGACTTTACACATGCGTGAAACCTTTCCTGATGTTCCCCTAAATTAGCGGCCAGCCTTCCTCCCTAAATTTCCTTGTATGTATTCTGCATACATTTCATGCTTCTGATATTGCTGGCTTAACCCCTCTGGAAAGCATCCACATCTAAACCTGGGTTCTGTCAATGGGTAAGCTCTGCCTACTCCACCTATGACTCCCTAATATACCCCAGGCTTTTCCCCAGTGTCCTGGACAAGTCACTTCCTCCATCTTTATCATGAAACCAGTCAACCTTAGAGCTCTCAGGGGGTATGACAGGATCTCCCCTGATAACTGGGATGAAAAACGCTGGAGACACTCACTGGAGGCCAAGGCCTCAGTCTCAGTAGATGGCACCTTGTAGATCTTGCCCCCCTTGTAGACAAAGCTGCCTTCCACCACTTTAAAGTCTAGGTATCGAGTCACTTCTGTGTACAGCAACATCTTCACCAACTGGCCTGTGATAGTATGGGGAGAGGAAGAGAGACATCTCCATATGTATAGCCCTTTCCCCAAATTCACCCACCTCCTCCTACCTATATTGCCTACCACCAGCTATATCCTGCCACTCACCATTGGCCATGAGGAATTTGGGGATCAAGTCAACGTTCCAGTCTCGGCCCCTTCCCAAGCTTTCGGGAGGTCCTTCAGGCAGGTCAAACCGTTTGAACAACTATAAGCAAAGAGAGACAGAGAAGAGGAAAAGGGAGGATTCATTCAATGTCAGCCTCACCTCCAGAACCCTCCGTAGAGCTGATCAGGTCATGGAAGTCAGACTATAAAGGACAATGGAGTCTGGGTAAAATGGAGCAGGTCATCTCACCTCTTCCAGGGGTGTGATAGAGGAACTTTCACCCCCATAGTAAGGATTCCGATCCATGTGCAACACCTTCTTCCCATTCACAGACATGATGCCAGAGAGAATACATTCCTGGAGGGAGAGACCAGCAAGGAAAGGGTTTTGAAAAAGAATGTGAACTTACCCTCTTCCAAGATCAGCATGGAAATCTCAGCACGTCTATTCCTTTACCTTAATACCGAAGGGGGGGAGGGGCAGAAGAGAGCCCCTCCCCTTCCCCCAACCAGACACACAAAAGGTTGGAGAGGTAGGTTTCCATCCCTCCGTTAATCTCTTCATGGCGCAGTTTTTAGGGGAAAGCCATTTCGGTTCCAAGATGAAGGCAAGCAGTGCAGAAACAACTCCCCCCTTTCCTGACCCTGACATCCCATTCCAGGAAGCAGTAAGAATGTCGACAAACACAGCTACACAGATCACAGGTGCAATTGGAAGCAGAGAAAGACCATATTACAATGGCCCTACCCTGGGCCTCCTTTTCCTAGTCTTAAGATCAGTGAATATTTATGTGGTAGGGGCATCGCAACCCTGCCCATGTCCTCAGGCCACCATCTTGTAGGTGACTAGCTCTAGAGCTGGGAGGTACTAATTTTACAGATGAGGAAACTAATGAATCCAATAGAGAGTAAAAGGACTAACTGGGGTCGCACAGCTATTACATGTCTGATGCTCTGAACCTACGTCTAGCATTTAACCATTACAGGGGTAATGAACACTGTGCTGGTCCTGTCTCATACCCCGCCTCCCCCCCCTCCCGAGGAAGGGAAAGTGGGTAGGATTATTTCTGTCCCCTACTCTGCAGTAGGATACTTGGGGGTAGAAGCCTCCAACCTCTACGGTCAGAGGGTTTGATATCCTTATCATCTTGGGGAACAGAGTTGTGGTGATCGGATACATACAGATACGCTGTGGTCCTGTGGGTAGCCAACACTCCAAGAAAATGGGGGGAGGGGAGAGGGCTGAGGTAGGGACTATCTGTAAACCTCAGGGTTGGAGTGAAATAAGGTAGCCCTGATTTGGGGGATACAGAAAGAAGACTCGAGAGAGAATGAGAGGAAGGCATACAGGGATCACAGGACACTGAGACTACACATATAGGGGAAGAAAGGTCATCATGGGGATGGGTTGGAAGGGTGTGGGAGAGGAGGCTGCACTTTCGGGGGGCTGGCCTTGTGGTGGGGAGAGAAAGAGCCTAATCTTTTGGGGGGAGGTCAGCCTTTGCGCCGGGGGGGGGGGAAGGGAACCTAGGCTTTGGGTGGGGGAGGGGGAGAGGAGGGGAAGGCTCTCTTTTTTTGGGGGGAAGAAAGGAGGGGTCTTTGAGCTTGAGGGGAGGCGGGGGCGGGTGCTGCATTCCCATCGGGGCTCCTCTTCAGCTGCGGCGCCGCGTCCCAGTCCCAGTCCTGCTTCCGAGATCCCAGTGTCTTACCCCCATCCCCGACTCACCGTAAGGCCAGTGCCCAGCACGATCACATCGTACTCCTCATCCATGGCTGCACTGGGCTGGGCTTGGCTGGTTTTTGCTTTCCGGCTTCGCCGACGATCCCACCGCTGCTACCTCTGCCGCTGAAATGGACCAAAGATGGCGGGCTGAGCACCACCTTTCCACTAGCTCCCTCCGCTGTACCAAAGAGTCCCGACTCTTCCGCTCTCCCGACGCCGCCCTGTCACCCCGCGGACCACGCCTGACTACGACACGGCCGGCCGGCTTCCAGAATGCTTGGGCCAGGGGCTACGAGGGGCCTGGTCTCACTATGGGAATTCTTTCATTTCTGGGGAGGGGGAGGGGAGGAAGGAGAGGCTCGGAGGCCCGTGAAGAGACCAAGAGAGGGATCCATCCGCGCCTCTTCCCGCATCTTTTTCCCGCATCTTCCTACCCACGGAGATGCTGGGGGTGGGGCTGTTCTCAGGAGGGAGAACCTAAGGGGAGGAACTGCCCTGAGGGGAGTGAGGATTGGGGGGGGGCGCTTCGGGAGAAGAGATCTCCCCCCCAGAAGGCTGTCAAGAGTAGGGTCAACGAAAACGCCCTTGTCCCCATCACCGCTAGCAAATGGTGGGGGGGGGGTTCCCTCTTTCCCTGGGGGGCGCAGGTGCTAGGGAGGGGGAGGGAGGATGCTCCAAGCCTGGGTGGGGCATGTTCACAGAATCCTCAGCCCTCTGCATAAGAGAGGTTACAGCCGCTATGTTCAGCACTCCGCACCCTCCCATGACTCAGCTTTGTCTTTTCCCATCCCGTCTCCCCAAATCCCTAAGGGGCAAATCTAGTCTAGGCCTGGGCTGCAGACCAACCAGCCAAAGGTAGCTTTGGTGGGCCAAGAAAGACCCTTCCCTCCCCTGTGCCTAGGTTTCCTCCTTCCAGCTTCCCTAACAACCCCAACCATCATGCCCAATTTACCCCACCAATGAACTATTTGCTCTGCCTCTCTTTCCAGGACTGGGAAGCTACAGCTATCCACTCATTCTATTCCAATAATTCTTTCAGCCCACAGGTTTTCCATCTTTGTGTCACAGACCCCTCCTCAGAATCATGTTTTTTAATGCACAAAATATTACAAAGGAAACCAATTATAGCTAATAAATGACTTTTTTTTTTGTCCCAGGCAATTTTAAAGGATTCCCTGAATTGTATCAACGACCCCAGGTTAAGAACTCTTGTTTTGGCTTCACTCCCATAACCCCTGGGCAACTAGGTGGTGCAGTGGATAGAGCACTGGGCTTGGAAACAGGAAATCTTCCAGAGTTAAAATCCAGCCCTGGGCAAGTCACTGTTTGCTTCAGTTCCTCATCTATAACATAAGCTGGAGAAGGAAATGGCAAACCACTTCAATATCTTTGCCAAGAAAACCCCAAATGGGGCCATGAAGAGTCAGACAGGACTGAACAACCACTAGTGAACTCCCCACCAATGCTTAGATCAAATGATCTCCGTCCTCTAGAAGCAAAGCCACATTTAATACAAATAGACAGCATGGTCATGGAGGCTTAGTTAAAACGTCATTTCAATTTCTTATCACATCCAACTTCAGCATCACCAAAAAACTAAAAGACAAAACAATAAGCAAACAAGACAATAAGCAAGTTTCAAGTCCACACCCCCTCCCCACCTTGAGTTCCTTTTCCAACCTCAGTACTTTGTTTTCATTTGTCCTTCATTCTCAAAGAGGACCATGACATCAGGAAGGTGATGCCATGACTTGCAAGTGAATTGGATTTAAGTAAGGGAGGGCTGTGCAAAATCAACAGCCTCAAACTCTTCTTCAGAGCCGTCTGGGTCCAGAGGCAAGATAAAGATCAGGAGGACTGGGGATGGCCCCAGATGCAGAGGAAAACCTTGGCCTTTGTAAGCAAAGGTCTATCCCGGCTTGAAGTTTGACTGAGGCAACGCCCATTCAGTGATTAAGACTAGGTAATAAATGAGGCAAAAAGTGGCCTGTTTTACCTAGTCGGAACAAAAACAAAATCAATCTTGGGAGGGGAAGGCCCTCAGGGTTTCTGGCCAAAACAGAAACAACTGCCATACTCACTGAGCCATTAGAGCCCCAAACAATGACCAAGTGAGGCTTGGGCTGGGATCTATCACTGGCCAATCAAAAGTGATTTGGGTTTAAGGCATGGTCCATAAAAAAATCTAGCCCACAAACCTAAAGATATCTTGCTAGTTCTCAGTAATTAAAATTTATATTCCTTTGGGTAGAGTATCTGCAGATAAGGGTATGATACCCTATGTGGATAGAGGGAAAGGAGGGAGAACAACCCATAACCCACTGGTGAACTCCCCACCAATGCCTAGGCCCAAATGATCTCTGTCCTCTTGAAGCAAAACCACACTTAATACAAATAGACAGCACTGCCATGGAGGTTTAGTTAAAATTTTATTTCAATTTCTTATCACATCCAACTTCAGCATCACCAAAAAACTAAAAGACAAAACAATAAGCAAACAAGACCAACAAGCAAGTTTCAAGTCCACACTCCCTCCCCACCTAGAGTTCCCTTCCAACCACAGGACATTTTGACTAATCCCCAGAATACATCTCACACAATGAAGCAGCTAGACCTGAGGGCAGGGATTTAGGGAGAATAAATAAGGGTAGGCAGCAAGCAGCCAGGAAAACAAGTGGCCTCAGATAATCCTTCACTCTTAGTGTGCTGCCTCAAGGTATCTCAGAGGCTGAGCTAAAAGCTAGCCTCCAACGTTTTCACTGCAGGTATTTATCAGAGGCAGACACTGCTTTTTGTCATGGTGGAAAGGGTAGGGGAAGGGTAACAACAGACTCTGGAATCACTGGGGGTAGGAGCAAGAGGAAATAGGTATAGGGAGGCTTAGCTGCCGAGGAAGCACAAATGAGTAGTAGCTTGGCAGCCCTTCCACGGGGAGGAGGCAAAGTCAATATATGACTCCACCTCCAACCCTTCTGGCCTCCCCACATGACTGAGGGGGTCACTCCATGAGGGGCACAGAGAGAGTGCTCCCCTTGTGGTCATCAAAGCGATCCATGGTCTTGAGGTTGAGGATCATGTGTAGCCCATAGGTGAAGATGAAAAGCATGAAGAGAGAGGAGACCAGGCCCATCCAGATGCCAGGGGAGAAGAAGCTGGCACAGTCACTGGCATAGGAGAAGTTTCCACCAGACAAGTTAAAGGCCTGAATCTTGAAGAGAAGAAAGAAAATTAAAACAAGAAACCAAACCATTGGGCATGGCCCAGGTCCATGGAATCTAAAAAGAACTGGGGGGGGGGGGAATTCCCCCTCTCCCCTCCCACCCACCAGAGCTCTAGCCTTTACATTTGTCACCAACATGGTGGGGATGGGAGGAAAGTGGATGGACCCGAGGACTGGAGAGGTTTTTTTATCCCTGAGTATCTTAACCAGGCTATTTATGATTGTTTCCAGTTTATGTAAAAGATGATGTGCAGTCAGGAAGAAGGGTATGAATACTCCTTGCTCTCACATCCAAATTCTGTGCCACTGTGGCCATCATTTACCAATCTCTCTCCTTTGAGGTTCTCCATGAAGATAAGCCACCCTACTCCATACCTCCCTTTTCTTTCCCAAGGAGTTCAGCCTTCCTCTCCACCCCAACCTCTGACCTTATACAGCTTATGGTCTTCACACAACTTCCATCTCCCATGATAATACTCGTACTCCATACACCCACACACCCAAACACCCCCACACCCATCCACCCACACACACACTCTCTTATCTCTCTCTCACCCTTGATATCATTCTTAAACATTCTACTTATATGATTTAGGACTCAAATTCCTCTTGGCCTTCCTCTTCTTGTACCTTACACCCCTTCCCTTTATCTGTGCTTCATCTTCAACTCAATTTCCAGTCATTCCACTCCTCCCTGCTTTCTCACTGCATCACCACCTACCTCTGCTCTGGTCTCACTTTTCCTCCCTCATTTATTCAGTTTAACTTTGGGTTCCTCTCTGCACTCAAATCTCTTGCCCCTTCCTTGTCCTATTCATGGCTTTCCAAATTCCAACCTTAGATTAATCCCACCCTTCCACCCCACCCCCCATCTGTTCTCTCTAATCCTAACAGTGCAGAGCTTACTTCAGTTTGATGTTCTCAAATTTCAACTGAGCTTTCACTACCAAAGAGCAATCCTTTTATTCTTCCTCAACTGACTCACTTCCACCACTCTTCCCACCTTCCATCCCTTAACATAGGACCTTGTGCATCATTTTAAAGAGAAAACTGATGCCATCCATTGCTAGCTTCCTTACACTCCTTAATTCTACACTCAAATCCCCTCATCATCCTCCCCAACTTCCCTCCCCTTGCCCCAGTGTGTGATGAAAAGGTGGCCATTCTCACCTTGGGCCCCTGATCCCTTCCCCTTTGGGGACTTTCCTCTTTAACTGGGAGTGTTTGCAATTCCTCCTTCACCAGAATGTAGCATACTCCCAGTCCCCTGGTTGGGCTGCACTATCTGTGCTCCTTTCACCCTACCTGGAAATTCTGGAAAGTCACGTGCCAGGTAGAGGAACCAGGCGAAGACACTAGGAGACCTTCCTTTGAACGTTCAGTGCTAACATACTGGCAGTGGAAGGAATAGATACTAGGTGCTGTAACATGTGAAGAATTGAAGACAACAACTGAGTTGTTGGTGTGAATCTCTAGTCGATCCATGGTGAACCAGCTTCGGGCAGAAACAGGGTAGAAATGACTGCTCAGGATAAACCTGGGAGAGAAAGTCAGATGATCAGTGGAGACTGTCCACAGCTTTCTTTCCCCCACCACCTCCGCCCTGAGCACTTACTTGATAGTCAGGAATGGGCCAAAGAGGTTGTCATATGTCAGCACAAGCCTGGGAAACAGAGGAAAGGAAGGGCTGGTCAACTTTACCATCCTTGGGTGTCAGAGAACATCTCTAGCACACAGACTATTCCCAAAGTGATGCCACTGAGACTGAAGGTTTTGTATGGTTCTCAACTTCTAGGCAGGAATTCAGTCAAGCTCACTCATACAGCAAGTTGAGAATGGAGCTGGGGCTTGGACCCAGGCTTCAAAACTCCCAAGTAAGTCATAGTTCTAACTCCCACTAGCCCTACCATCTTGTTCAAAGAAAACTATGTGA